CTGGATATCAAAAATTAATACATAGCTACCGTAATCAAGGCAGAATGGTACTGGTATAAGGATAGCTAGATTGATCCATGGAATATAATTGAAACTCCAGAGATAAACCCATACATTATTGGACAACTGACTTTTGACAAGGGTACAAAGACAATACAAAGGGGGAAAGAATAGCCTTTGCAACAAAAGGACAACTGATATCCACACACAAAATAATGAAATTGGACCCATTCCACATACCAAATTAAATAATAACTAAAAATGGATCCAAGTTCTAACTGTAAGAGTTTTAGCTTTAAAACTATAAATCTCTTAAAATAAAGGCATAAAATTCAATGATCTTAAATTAGGCATAGGATTTTAAATATGACACTGAAAGCACTATCAACAAAAATAAAAATGGATAAATTGGAACTCATCAAAATTAAACACTTTTGTGCTTCAAATGACACCATCAAGAAAGTGAAAAGGACAACCCACAGAACAGGAGAAAATATTTTAAAATCATACATCTGCTAAGGGTCTGCTAGCTAAAATATACAAAGAAATTTTACAATTCAGTTTAAAAAATCAATTTTAAAATTAAAAGATATAAATAGGTATTTCTCCAAAGAAGACATACAAATGTCCACTAAGCACATGAAAAGATGCTTCATATCATTAGTCTTTAGGGAAATGGAAATCAAAAGACCAATGAAATACCACTTCATACTGGCTAGGAGGACTATTAAAAAAAAAAAAAGATGGTGAGAATATAGAGGAATTCAAACTCCCAAGCATCACTGAGGTACAGCTGCTCTGAAAACCAGTTTGGCAGTTCCTTAGAAGGTTAAACACAGAATTACCATATAATCCAGCAATTCCAACCCTAGGTATATACCCAAGAGAATTGAAAACATATGTTCACATGAAAAAATCTGCACATAAATGTTTATGACATTTTTCATAACAGCCCCAAAGTAGAAGCTACCCAAGTGTTCATCAACTAATAAATGGATAAACAAGATATAGTACACCCAGAGAATGCAGTATCATTCAGCCATGAAAAAAAAAATGAGGTACAGGTGCCTGTTACAACATGAATGAATCCTGAAAACATCAGGCCAGGTGAAAGAAAAACCATACACAAAAGGCCACATATTGTATGATTCCATTTATATGAAATGCCCAAAACTGGCAAATTCACAGAGACAGAAAGTACATTAGTCATTTCCAAGGACTTGGGGGGTGGGAGAATGGGTGGTGAGTGACTGCTAATAGGTACAGAGCTTGTTTGGGGATAATGAAGATGTTCTGGAATTACACGGTACTGATAGTTGCACAACTCTGAAAAGATTAAAAACCACTGAAATGTATAATTCAAATGGGCAAACTTAATGGTAAGTGAATTATAGCTCAGTATTTTAAAAAGCAAGTCAAATCACACCACTCTTCAAAATCCTCCAAAAAGTTCATACCTCAGACAAAAATTCAAAGGAATACAAGACTTTTAGGGCTAGGCTCCCCAGTGCTTCTCTGACCTCCACTCCTATCACTCTCCTGCCTGTCCACTCCAGACACACTGCCTTTCTGCTCTTCAAATACATCATGCTCACACTGCAGGGCCTTTGCACTTGCCCTGGATTCAGTCCTCCACATACCTGCACAATTAACTTCTGCACCTCTTGAGGTCTTTGCTTGAATGTCCCCTTGTCAATAAGGCTGATCCTAACTATATGCCACAGTATTTCTTTGCCCCATCCCTACATGATTTTTCTCTTTTGCACTTATCACTATCTAAAATACAACATGCTTTTTCTTATTTCTTATTTATCTATTGTCCATCTCCTCCCACTAGAATTTAATGTCCATGATAGCTAGACTTTTTGTCTGCTTGTTCACTGCTATGTTTTGCACTCTACTGAGGATACAGTAAGTGCTTATTAAATATCCTTGGGTGACTATAGAAGGAATGGGCGCCTATAGGGGTAAATGGATTTGGAGGACCTGCTCTGAGAAGGAAAGCATTTTCAGGTTCAATAAGGGACATACAAATGACTGGGGATAAACTTTTGAAGACTGGATACTGCCTGTTATCAAACACTTATTCAAGCCCAAGAGCTGTCAGATGTTTTCTGACACCTGCTAGTTAATCGTCGCCACCGCAAAAGAAAGTGGCGGGCCCCAGGCCCTTCCCTGTCAGCAGCTGAGTGTGAGAGCCATGCTCAGCTTCTAATCTTTGATGCTCACATTTCAGTTGTACTTCTTCCTCGATTTCACACAGTGATACAAACTACCGGGAACTCTCTCTGTCTCTCTCTCAGGACATTTGTGCTTTGAGACTGTCTAGCTCTGGGCCAGCTCTGCAGACTAAAGACATTCTGGATGTGCCTGTCGATAGGAGGAGGAGCCCTCCAGCAGGAACTCCACGCCATCTGACCTTGTAGCCTCCTGAGCTCCAGAAAGCATCTCTGTTGTGCTTAAATGGGCCCTGCAGGAGCACATATGATTAAATGTACAAACGGGCTCCACACACAGACTTTTAAATTACTGTTTTTATTTTAACTTTAGATTCATTCGCTCTAGGGATTCAGCCTTTCTTTGATGGAGACCTAAAACATAAGTGAGAGAGAAGTTTCTTGGGCTTCTAAAAAGTCACAATGCTTTGCAGAAATTAAGTCTTAGCACAAAGAAGTCCCTCTGTGCTTCTGCCATCTTCCTTCTCTATTTTGCAGATAAAATAGCTATGGTTTTGTGACTGTGCGGAGCAGGGCAAAAAAGATAGGAAACTCAGAAAAACTTCAAAGGACCATTTCTGTCATCTTCATAATCTCTTTCTCCTCTGGTCTGAAATGTCTGCCCTCTTACAGTCGCAAAATGTTTTCTCTAGAGCAGCTGATCCTATATGTGCTAATGTGGATTTCCTGTAATCCAGATTAGTATAATTCAGAATCTAGCCCCAGCACACCTGTTTTTGGTCCACCTCAATACCCCACAGGTACTTCAGGCTCATCCTATCCAAGACTAACTCATTAGCTTTCCACCAAAACAATTTTTTTAATTTAAATTTTAAAAAATTAGTAAGAAATAAGAAACAGTCATTCTCCTTCTGTCATTAAGCCTGACTAAAGGTGTTACTTTCTCCCACTCAAGGAAACCAGGAAATTCAAAATCGAACTTGACCCTCTGCTCTGACTCTATGCAAATTCTGTCAGTCACTAAGTCACTGCTTTGACCCTATCCTAGTACATTTCCTCATTCTGTATCTTTTGAAGGATTACCTCCTTCTCACATTCAAAAGCCAACATGGTGGGCTTTCTTCTCACTATTTGAAAGTAGACTGCCCTCTACTCCCACTTTTCAACACTAATTACTCAGGTGAAAATGAAACCACTTGTTCTTCCCAACCCCTGCTGGCTGCTCTAGTCCTGGTCTGAGTTCCACCTCGCGCTAAGGAAGATATGGCTCTGTTGCCGAACCAAACTTGGGTCCACTCACCTGACACACAGCTACACCGAATCTACTCACACCAGGTTGTGATGAAGGGAAGTACAGCTTTTACTGCAAGGCGCCCAATGTGGGGCCAAGCAAGAACAGGCAGCTCATTCAAAAAGACCAAATTCACCCAATGGCTTTCAGAGAAGGGTTTTTTTTTAAAACAGTGTGAGAAAAAGGATCACAGGTCATCAGCTCATGCACAGTTCTCTGATTGGCCGATGGGGAGGTAACAGGTTGCTTTTTGGGGAATCTCAATCATCAACCTTATGGTTCCAATTAGTGTAGAGTCTAAGTGGTCAGCATGCAGTTAACGTCTTCCACCTGGTGGGTGGAACCACTTAAGGACATGGCTCAGGATATTATCCTTAGCCCTTGATGAGGAACTAAAGGTCCCTGATTTTGTTTCATGGCTGAACTATTAGTATTTTGTCTTCCTTGACTGTTCTCCTTTGTTTTCGCATTTTCCTCCCTTCTCTGATTCAATATGCTCTTTGGAACTCAGGAAAGGTCTATAAGGCTAAAGTTTTTCTACAAACAAGCTGCAGGAACACGGGATTGAGGGGTCTGTCCCCAGGAAGGCCCCACAGGGTCCTGCTCAGTTCCAGCTCCAAATATCAGCCTTATCACTTCCAGCCTATGAGAGCTTAGATGTAAGATATTATATGCTATACATGCAATAACACATAAATCAAACCTATAAACAGGTTATCATTATGAAAGCATGGTAAATGCAGGAGGTACTAGAGACCTGTAGATTATCCCATTCTATACAGAGCTTCCCTAGACCTCTAAGAAAGGCTGTGCAAATTTTGCAGGTCCCACTTTTACCATCAGCAGATCAACACCAAGGGGGAATCCTCATTAGTACAGAAGTAAGACCCTCTCCCATTTCACCACCATGCTGTCTCCTGAAAGTGGGCAGACGAGGCTCATGGTTCCCCAAAGTCCAGGCTTAGCTTTCAAGCCCAGCAGGGCTGGGGCTGTTTGAACCAATCCTGAGATCCCATCCAGTTGTCCAATAAAGGATAAGGCTCACATGCACACACATTATTCTCAGAGAGAACATTATTTTTTTACAAGCCTGGATTTTTTGTTCCGAACCTTAAGTGTGAACCAGAAACTGGAGCTAAGAGAGCCTTACATTTAGAGCCCTAGTTTCTGCTACTATCCCACTTATAAGGAGACATCTCTCTCTGCAACCAAGCTCCGCCTTCTAAAGATTTCATTAACGAGACTAACTGGAATAGACACCGCGGGCCTCTGCTTCCCCAAACGAACAGGCTCGAAGGACGAGGCTGCCCCCAAGTGGGAAACCGCAAACAGCAGCGACGCTTCCAATCCGCTTAAACTTCAGTTCAACAAAACTGAATGCGCTCTGCATTCCCAGCACGCAAGACCTCCCCTCCCTGAGAGCCGCTGGGAAGAAAACTGGGGTAGATTCTTTTACAATTATGGGGTGGGGAGCGTTCAGAAAATAGAATAGGCGCACCCAATGTCTCCCTACCTCCCGACCCAAAAAGTACCTGGTGAAATGCAGATTCGTGTCCTCACCGCGGAGATTCTGGGCTGGGAAGTAACTTTCTGGGTCTTGGGCAGGGGCCAAACTCTTGCGGGACGCGACAATCCAGAAGTCGCTGTTTTCCCTTTGTGTTCTGGCAGCCCCCTAGCCGCGTCTCCTCGCGCGTCTCCTCGCGCGTCTCCTCGCGCGTCTCCTCGCGCGTCTCCTCGCGCGTCTCCTCGCGCGTCTCCTCGCGCGTCTCCTCGCGCGTCTCCTCGCGCGTCTCCTCGCGCGTCTCCTCGGTACCCCGCCCACCCGCCCGGGGTCCGCCCCTCCGCCGCCGCGGTTTCCATGGCGACCCTTGCCGCGAGGTTTCCATGGCGACCCTTGCCACTTAGCGTGAGGCTTCCTTAACTGGGAGTTAGGGGTTCATTTCTCTGCCTCAGTGCCCACCGCTGAAGCGAGAAGGGGGGTTCTGACCTAGGACAGTCAAGCTAAGAAGTAACTTTTATTATAATTATTTTCCTTATTGATTTGACTATTTCTTGTGCCCATTTCTTATTCAAAATAAGCTGTTGTTTTTTCTGGGGTGAAGGGTGGGGGAAAGAACTTTTATATAACATCTTACCTGCAAATTCAGGTGTTTGGTACAGGCTGACTCCTTGGCTGAAAGAATCCATGATTTCTATTTGCCTTAACGATTTGCCTCGTGCACAGTCCTCCGGTGGTGGTAGAAGACGCTCGAGTGTGTGGCTTATGCATTTCTCTAGTAACCGGCCACATGGAGATGATTCCCAGACTGTGGGCTTCCTGTTCCTTACTTTACTGTCCAGTTTCCAAGGGCTGCTGCCTCCGCTGAATCAGGAGGAGGTCAAGTCTCCTGTGACCAGATGGAGAATGTAAAGACTGTGCTCTCAAAAGCATCTGAGCTGAGCTTGGTACTCAGAAGTTCTCGTTTTTTTCTAATCAACGAGCCCCAGCTTATTCTAATCAACTGCCCTTAGTAGGGGGCCACGCCCTCTGGAAGGGCTGGTTTTTCTGGTTGTCAACCCTTGGCGCTGGGCATAGTCTCAAAAGGTGCTGTAGGTAGGTAGGTATCATGGTCAGCTGGTCAGGCCCTACCCCAGGGGGCCAGTGGGCTTTTCTTTTTGGTCATCCAAGAGGACTGCTGGATAATTCTGTCAGGGTGCTTCCTTGGCGTGGTTGAGCTGTTCAAGATGGCAGGAGGCTAAGTGGAAATCTAGGCACCTCAGGAATTCTGTTCATGTGCGAGGTACATGCTGAGGAGAAGGGTGCTTTTACTTTTCACAGTAACCCAGTGGGGAACTATTAGCTCAACTTTACAGAAGAGGAAAGAGAGGAACAGAAAATTTCAGAAATTTGCCCAATGATGGAGTCCAGATTTAAACCACACGATGTCTGGCTTCTAAGCTCAGTACACTGAATTTAGCTGCTTTTTTTTTTTTTTTTGCCCTTGGGGCTTTTATTCCAGCCCCACCCCCTCATTAATTAAAGCAAATTCATACATTCATTCAACAATGAGGTGTTTCATTTCTGCCCCTACTCCCTCCAGCTGTAGTTTCAAGGGGACAGAGACAACCACATCCATTTCCCTGAGTTCTGTGTCTGGCACACAGAAATGTTTGCTCCCAGGACAGTTTGATGAATGAATAAAGATCAAAGAGAATGACTGCTTCAGAGCATTTGCATTTATCATATAAATTAAAAGAAGGAAACGTTGTTACCCACTGCAAGTTTGTGTGCCCTAGGCATAGTGAGGCCAAGCTGAAAAGTCAGAGTTTGGAGCAGAGAAAGGTTTATTGCTGGGTCAAGAAAGGAGAATCCACTACTCACACCCAAGAAAACCCTGAATTCCACCAAGGGTTTCAGCAAAGCATTTTTAAAGGCCAGGTGAAGCAGGGTGGGTGATGAGCTCGTGCAGAATTCTGCGATTGGTTGATGATGAGATAACAGGGCAGTCAATGCTATCAGCACGGAGGCTCCAGAAGGTCTGGGAGCCATGTGCTCATGGTTATCAAGTAGTTAATTTCTTCCATATGGTGCTGAGTTTTAGCGTTAGAAAAACTCAAGAAACATGCATGAGATACTATTAATGGAGAGGAGCTACAGCAGAGGGTATCCAAGAGGGGTCTGACCCTGGAAGCCCCATTCGGTTACATGTGTGTATGTTTCAATTAAGAAGGTATTGTGTATTATGTGGAATCTAAAAAAAAAAAGAAGAAGAGGAGAAATGAACTTAAATATAAAACAGAAACAGACTCACAGACATAGAATACAAATTTGTGGTTGCCAGAGGGTGGGAAGGGATGGACTGGGAGTTTGAGATTTGTAAATATTGACAGGTATATATAGAATAGATAAACAAGTTTATACTGTATAGCACAGGGAAATATATTCAAGATCTTGTAGTAGTTCACGGTGAAAAAGAATATGAAAACGAATATATGTATATTCATGTATGACTGAAAAACTGTGCTGTACACCAGAAATCGACACAACATTGTAAACTGACTATAACTCAATAAAATTAAATAAATGAATAAATAAATAAAAATTGAAAAAAAAAAGAAGAAGTTATCGTGTAAGCATCAGAAACAGAACAATGGAGCCTATGGATTGGGGGTAGAAAGTTTACTATGGAATATGTATTTTTTTAAAAAGCTTGTGTTGTGTGTCCTGGTTTATCTTCCTAAAAGAATCTCTTTTGGGTTCTAGTCATTTATCAGAAAGCATATGGTTTGGTTTTAGGTAAAGCCAACCTCTGTTTACAGCGTGTAACTGATACACTCTCCTAGTTTTCCCAGCCCTTAATTTGTTAACACTTCTGTGTTATTTACTCTCACTCGGTGGCCATTTGCCTTTATTCCCCGCTGCTGTCCCTCTCAGTGTCTCAAGTTTTGTACTAACTATCCCCCTGCCTTCGCCTTGACTTCTGCTTGGCTTCGCAGGGTCTTTAGGGATTGTTTAACGTCAGTTAAACAATCCTGGTGGCTGCCCTGGAGAAAACCAGCATCTTGTTATGCCTGTAGGTGGCACGTGCAGACTGCAGTCTAAGGCAGGGCTGAGAGGTAGGGCTTAATTCTTGGAAGATTTCAAGGAATTGCAAGAAACAGTAGTAAAACAATGAAGCTCTGGGGTCTAAAAAATATCTTGTCATTCAACAAGGAATGAGGTACAGACTTATTAAGCAAACATCTGTTTATCTACATATGCTGACACCACCAGTTCTCCACCATGCTCTTAAGTCATTGCAAACCATAATTTTAAAACAGCTTTTTTCTTTTTCTATTTAGTTTCAGATGTTTTCTTTTCTGTAGGCAGGCCAGTTTATTTGTGTTTGAATTAATCATCTGTCAAGTTGGAATCTAAAAGCACAATTTGAGCTATGCATCAGTTATGTCAGTGCAAAGCCAAATAAAAATGTGAATTAGTATATTCAAGGGTTCAAAGCAAGAACTCTGGAACCAGTAAGTTTGGCCTGGATTTCCAGCTCTCCCATCTATAAGCTGTGTGACTTTGGGCAAGTTACTTAGCTTCTCTGTGCCTCTGTTTTCAAAGTATTAAGTGCTACATAGCACTTATTGTTAGCAATAATTATTGTTATTCCACAGTTGTCCATAGATCCCACTGGGCCATGGTATATGTATATATAACACTTTGCTAGAGTTGAATACTAGGCTTTTGAGGAGTTTCAGTTGTTGCTAAGAACAGCCAGTTCACTATCCCAGTGGTCTCATGGCCACCCTTACCTGCTGTCTGACTTTGCGTTAGTTGATACATTTAATTATTTCCATATATATATGGGTGGTGCCAACTGGTGCCGGCTGAGGCCCTGCAACTCCCCAAACTTCCAGCCCTTAGGCATCTGCCTTCTCTTCTTCAGAAGACAAAGCCCTGATGTGTGTTTGCCTTAGCAGAATTAACAGCCCTGGGAAATGACTAGCCTCACCATAGCTCAGGCTGACTTGTCTCAGCCCATGTCTCCTCCTCATAGGAATCATAAATTCCACTCCCTTGCTGTGTCAGCCCATGTCTCCATCTTACTGGAGTCATAAATCTACTATCCTCCTACATACCAAAGCCCCTTACCTCACTAATGGCCGATCAAAAATCTGTTCCCCTATTCCTTTGTGTTCACAGCCTCTTCCTCAATAAAAGACCCTGCACCTTCACACTCGGTGGACACACAGGCACCTCTGGCCTGTGTGGCCCACTGTTGCCTGTAGCATCACAACTATTGGAATCAACAGGAAAAGAAAGTAAAGGAACAATCCCTTTTAAAATAGCACCTGAAGTAATAAATTACCTAGGAATAAATCTAACCAAGGAGGTGAAAGATTTTTACATGGAGAACTACAAAACATTGATTAAGGAAATTAAAGAAGACTTTAAAAAATGGAAAGATAGCTCATGCACCTGAATAGGAAAAATCAATATTGTTAAAATGGTCACACTGCCCAAAGCAATCTACTGATTTAATGCAATCCCTATCAAATTACCCAGGACATATTTTGCAGAAGTAGAACAAATCATAATCAAATTTATATGGAATTACAAAAGACCCAGAATTGCCAAAGCATTACTGAAGAAAAAGAATGAGGCTGGAGGAATAACCCTCCCAGACTTCACACAATACTACAGAGCTACAGTAATCAAAACAGCATGGTATTAGTACAAAAACAGACATACAGACCAATGGAACAGAATAGAGAGCCCAGAAATGAACCCACAAACTTTTGGTCAACTAATCTTCGACAAAGGAGGCAAGAATATACAATGGAATAAAGACAGTCTCTTCAGCAAATGGTGTTGGGAAAATTGG